AAATAATACATGGGACCTTGTGCCATAACCACAAGGAAAAGAAGCCAATTGGTAACAAATGGGTCTTCAAAATCAAGCGAAATGGTGACGATCAAGTTGAGAGGTATCGTGCAAGACTGGTGGTCAAAGGATATGCTCAAAAGGAAGGTATTGATTTCAATGAAATATTTTCTCCTGTGGTTCGACTAACAAAAGTTCGAGTAGTTTTGGCAATGTGTGCTACATTGAACTTACATATAGAGCAGCTAGATGTTAAAACAGCTTTTCTTCATGGAAATCTTGAAGAAGAAATTTATATGCTCCAGCCTGAAGGTTTTGAAGAAAAAGAAAAGAAGAACTTGGTTTGCAGGTTGAACAAATCTCTATACGGTCTAAAGCAGGCGCCAAGGTGTTGGTATAAGAGATTTGATTCCTTCATTATGTGCCTTGGATACAACAGTCTTAATGCAGACCCTTGTGCTTATTTCAAGAGGTCTGGTGATAACGATTTTGTTATATTACTGTTGTATGTGGATGACATGTTGGTTACAGGACCCAACAAAGATCATATTGAAGAATTAAAGGCACAACTGGCTAGGGAATTTGAAATGAAGGACTTGGGATCAGCAAACAAGATTATAGGGATGCAAATTCACCGAGACAGAAGTAATTGGAAGATTTGGCTTTCACAAAAGAATTACTTGAAGAAAATCTTGTCACGATTTAGCATGCAAGATTGTAAGCCAATTTCTACCCCTCTTCCTATTAACTTCAAATTATCCTCCAGTATGAGTCCTAGCAGTGAAGAAGAGAGATGGAGATGTCTCGAGTACCGTATGAATCAGCAGTGGGAAGTTTAATGTTCGCTATGATATGCACAAGACCAGACATTGCACAAGCAGTGGGAGTGGTTAGTCGATACATGGCGAATCCAGGCAAAGAGCATTGGAATACAGTAAAGAGGATCCTGAGATACATCAAAGGGACCTCAAATGTTGCATTATGTTATGGAGGATCAAACTTACTAATCAATGGGTATGTAGATTCTGACTATGCAGGGGATTTGGATAAAAGCAAATCTACTACAGGATATGTCTCCAAAGTTGCTGGTGGAGCTGTAAGCTGGGTTTCAAAATTACAGTCAATTGTGGCTACATCCACAACAGAGACAGAATATGTAGCAGCTACACAAGCCAGTAAAGAAGCAATTTGGTTGAAGATGCTATTGGAGGAGCTTGGGCACAATCAAGAGTATGTCTCTCTATTTTATGACAGTCAAAGCGCCTTGCATCTAGCAAGGAATCCAACATTTCATTCAAGGACAAAACACATACGAGTTCAATACCATTTCATTCGTGAAAAGGTGGAAGAAGGGACAGTAGATATGCAGAAGATCCATACTAAAGACAACATAGCAGATTTCATGACGAAGGCATCAACGCTGATAAATTTACCTGGTGTCGATCCTCCTGTGGCCTGTCAGAAACGTAAGTAACATGAAGGTACAAGGTAGAAAGAATAGTGTGAAGATAAGATTGTTCCAATCGAATCTTCAAGTGGGAGATTGTTGAAAATTGGTGCAACTTGCACCGAAAGTTGGGAGAAAAAATATATAATTCCACCGAATGGTGGAATTGTCAAAAAGGTTGTATTTTTGTTGATTTTTGGTAAAGGGTAAATTACACAATTTAGTCATTGTACTTTAGGGTATTTATAAGATTAGTCCTTAAGCTTCAACTATAAATACCCTAGCTCATTTAGCTTCAAAACCATCCCAAAGCATTCTAGCTTTCTTCCAATACTAGAGAAATTTTCGAGAGTTTCTTGAGAGTTGTTTTCTCCTTTTTATCTAGAGAAAATTATCATTGTTTTCTCCTTGGTAGATCGAGAGAGGTTGTAATTCCTATTTTCTCATAGTGAAATTCTTCTACCGTTGCCCGTGGTTTTTACCCTAAATTTTTAGGGGTTTTCCACGTAAATTTTGTGTCTCTTTTATCTTCATTTTTATTTTCTCAATTTATTAGTTGCGATTTTGCTCTATCCGTTAGCCGTCTTCCGCAACATTTTCAGTTTGCAAGTTTGAATGCAATTTACAGAGAAATTTCCAGATTATTTAGTAGGATCTACATCAAATCGAAATTGGTTCCGCGTATTGGAGATTCAATGAATTGTTGGGATGTACGCTATTTTCAGTTTGCAAGTTTGAATGCAATTACAGAGAAATTTCCAGATTATTTAGTAGGATCTACATCAAATCGAAATTGGTTCCGCGTATTGTTGATTCATATTTGTAACCACGTATGTTTGGAAATTAATATATAGGAGGGTTTCTTGCCCATCCACCTGAAACCAAGCATTCAATTGTTTCTAATTTACTTGGCCCATTAGCATTTGTGTCCCTCTCAGAAAGATATTTACTATAAGTTAGAATAATGGACATTTATTTGAACTTTGGATTCATCAGTTGTTTTTTTTAATGATTGCAAAACATTGGAAAGGTATGTTTAATAAGTTATGATTATTAATTGTTTGCAACCAGTGCACCAATCTATTAAGGCAGACATGTTCATTGGAATTATTGCCCATTGCAACGTTTTTTTTATCGTAAATACTTTGATTATAAATTAGTTTATGATGAAAAGTTTTGTAGAATGAAACGTGTGGTGCCATAGAACAAAGCATTATAATTAATGATATACATTTAATTGTGCTAGGTGTTGTAATTTTGTTTCGGGTTTTAATTTCACTAAATTTATGTTGTTTAACATAAATTATTTAATTGTTGAATTTTAGTTTTTAACTAAAATTAGTTGCGATAAATAAAGTGACGAGTGATTCGTTAGGATATGATTCAATTAATTATCCTTCTTTAGTCAATATTGTAGATGTATGTGAGGTTGAATTTTCTTCCTCGAACGTGTCTTAAATACCAGATCACGCAACGAAAGTGAAAATGTTCCCTAATGATATTATAATAAGTCTAATTTTTCTTAAGATTTTGTATAGGCAAATCATGGTCAACTGATCGAACCATAGTTGGACAAAGGTTCATGTTATTCCCTTAATTCAACAACCCACAAAGTGTCAATTTCATAAAGCCCATACATGTTTTTAAGAGTGATATTTTTCTCGATTCTTATAGATTGTAGGTTCCAACCTTAATTTAGCGGACGATTCTTGTGATAAATGTCTCCATAAACTTCATGATTTTGAAGCTTCGTTATGATCTTGCCATTATGATGTTTGATTTCATCAATGGCATTCTTAAGTGTTCTATCAGAATCTAGAACCATTGAATAAATCGTTTCGCTAATTCAATAAGTGAAAGTCTCCTTAATTTTGAAGATTTTCTACATGTGATCTTTAGGTGATGTTCTCGTATGTAATCCAATAGATCTTTCCTTACCTTGACAAGAAAATGTCTTTCCAATCCTGATAAATTAATATTCTAATGTTTCTAATAATATTCCTCAGTGGAATGTCCTACAAAGGCAAGTGGCCGCGTTAATTCTAAAACAATTGCATTATACCCTAATAAGATTTGTTATTGTGGTAATTCATACGTTGGTTGTTAAGGGACTCCTTAGTCTGAGATTGTGTTAACTCAAACTTTTGAAAGTTCAGATTTGTGAAATTGAATGCTGCAAATTATGCTTCATGGATTTTCCCATTACTCGTTGTATTCATTCAAATTCGACTTTCTTTGATCTTAATGAATTCTTTCTCGTGATTTCTTAAAGGATATTTCTTGATCGATTTTCAATGGAGTTTGATGATCGAGTTAGACCTCAAAGTATGTATCATAAATCTCTAAGAGCCACTGGTATGATAACCCCTGCATACTTTGAAAGATGAATCCTTCGATTCGAACTGATGATAGTTCGGATTCTGAAAACTCATATTTTTGAATTTGAAATTGTACTCGGTTGTTTGTGAATGCCTTAAATGCTTTAAACCCTTCATTGGCTTACTTTTTATTGAGTCTTAGATAATTTGTTATGTATCGATGATTCAGTTAGCTGTAATTTCCAATAATTTGTTATTGGTAAAATTTGTGTCCAGTTCATGCTATGGTTTGTGTACTTCGAGTCTGGTATGACCTTCAATCGTATTGGTGTTGACATTGTTATTAAAACGTCGTTCAATCTATGTTATGACATTCAATTGGCTCATCTTTATTTTCCACTATGGTGTCTTTGCTTGAGCCGAAGTATTTGGAATGTTTTAGAGGAATGTTCATAAACATAAGAATTTTGTTTGTTTTAATTTGATAAATTTCCATCGACATCACTAAATCTCCCATGAATTCTTAACCCCGTTGTAAGAAAGGAAAATCCTCAATTTTTTTATAACTCTGTCATCATATTTCCTTGATGATCTGCTAAGTGTTCAAAAATATTTCGATCAAGCGTACATTCCTAGAAATGTTACTCGTTTTGTTTGAGAATATTGTTACGGATATTAATCAATTGATCATACGTGGGGGAATGGGATTCAAGTGAAAAACTTGCTCGATTATGAATTATAAGATTGTTGTGGCCGAATATCATTTTAACTGTACAAGACGATGCAATCCATAGTAATAGGATTTGAATGCAATGTAATGCACGTAGTAAAGGTCTTTTGAAGGACCCGAGGAGTCGTCAAAGTTGTGTAGCTCGGATGTCTATACTAGAAGTTTCGTTGAAGAAATTTTGAGGATGAAATATTTTGAGATAAAAACAAAAAAAAAAGAGAGGGAAAATACTTTCTACTATATTTGATACTTTAAACCGTACATCTTATAGGAATACTACATCCTAAACAGGGAAAATAACTAATTTCTTACAGTTATTTCCTATTACATTACAAGACTAATTATGCAAGATTTGTACATCTACACAATGATCTATAAAAGGAAAAAACTAATTCTGAAAATCAATTGATTCTTTCCAACACTTGGTTTGAAAATATCTTTCAGAGCCATCTTGCACACTAAACTGTCAAAATGTGAAGACCTTTGGTTAGAATATCCACTGCTTGGTTGTTGGAAGGAATGTACACCATGCAAATATCTCATATGTCAATATTTTCCTTAATGTGGTGCTTGTCTATAGCTGTGTGTTTGGTTTGATCATGAAGGATAAAATTGTGGTGCAATGGCGATTTCAGACTTATTATCACAATACACCTTTATTCATGTTGGACTATGAATTTTATCTCCTCAAGAATTCTTCTAATCCATTGAACTTCACATATCCCATGAGCCACAGACTTGAATTCAATTTCAACACTATTTCTTTCCATGAAACTTTTCTTCTTACTCTTTTGGGTTACTAAATTTCCTCCTAGAAAACTACAGTACCCAAAGGTTAGCCTTCTATTTATAATACTCCCAGCCAATCTGAATCTGTAAATGCTTCTATTTGTAAGTGCTCATTTTTATTGAACAATAGTCCTCTTCCAGGCGTTCCCTTCAGATACCTAAGGATTCAATACACGGCTTCAAAGTTATGCGCATTTGGAGAGTGCATAAAATGACTTACCATACTAACAACAAAAGTTATATCAGGACGAGTGTATAATTAACATCATCTGTTTCATTTGTCACTTGTAACCTTTTTTTTGTTCAATTGGGGTTTCAATTGCTTTGCACCCAAGCATTCCAGTTTCACTGTGCAAGTCGAGTACATACTTCCGTTGATTAATAAAAATCTCCTCCTTTTATCTCACAAATTCAATATCAAAAAAGGTACTTTACAGCCCCCAGATTTTTAATCTTGAATTCTGTGGCCAATTTTCATTTTTATTTCTCAATTTCCTTAGCATCATCTCCTGTAAGAATAATACCATCGACATTGCCAATAAGTATAGCAAGTTTATCGGTCTCTGAATGTTTGTAGAACATAATATGATCAGCTTGACTCTGAATATATCCATATTTTTAATCACCTTTCCAAACCTCTCAAACCATGCGCAAGAAGATTGTTTGAGCCCATACAAAGATTTATTCAATATGCATATCTTGTGTTCTCAAACTTCTTCTCAAATCCTGATGGAAGATCCATGAATACTTCCTCCTCTAGTTCACTATTTAGAAAAATAGTTTTCAATGTAAAGTTGATGTAAAAAACAATTATAATTGTAATACCCTAATTTTACCTGAGTTAACCAAACCATATGTGGTTCCCCTTTGCACCCGTTGCTGCACTCTACCAAGCCATCACCGGCCAGCTCACCACGGCAGCACCAAATACGCGGCAGCAATAGCCTTAGCACGAAATAGAAAAATGACAACTCATTCTCCATATTCAAAAACAGAAGAAAATCATGCAAATTAGAAAAAGAACAAAAATTGTAATTAATGAAAGCTTCCTTTCTCTAGGTTTGTAAAATTGGGTATAAGGAACCCGAAAAACATTTTTTGTAAGCTAATATCTTCTTCCCCTGGAACTGGAACAGAGGCAATACAACTCAAAAATTTTCAAAGGTTAACTTTTTCCATTTCGTTTCTATTTTAATTTTTCGGTGTGCATGTGTAATGTTTCAAAGCAAAAAGGGAGAATGGGAAAGTTTAGTTTACCTTAGTGTTTCTCCATCGCCAGGGTTGTAGTTGTCGGAGTTGAGAAATCGTAAGCCATATTGTAACAGATTTTGTCACATTCAAAAATACAAGCAATATACAAAAGAACATTGTAGAAAAAAAGAACTTTTGGGAAGGTATCAAATTTTTTTGCAGAGCTTTTTCTCTTTTTTTTCGAAACAAAAAATATAGAGAGAAAGAAAGGTATTTTTTTTTACCTTAGTTGCCATTGCTTCTCGGAAGTTCAAGCTCATCGTTGGAGTCAGAAGTCGATCGGTCGGGGAAGAGCTTGCAAAAATAGAGGTTGTTTTAGGTTGTGGTTTCCCTAGTTTTAGATGAGAATAAGGGGTTTGGTCGGTTTAAGGCCGATTTAAGGTTCAATCGGCCAGCACCAAGGGTAGGAGGCTGCTAATCTACAATTGTGTTTGTCCCTCTTTGGTTTCTGTCGACGTGAATAGAGAGTTTAAGGGAGGGAGAGAGTAACCCATTACCTAAGGAGAGCTTTTGTGTGTTTTGGAGTGGGGCTCTCAGTTTAATTTATTTTTTTGTGAGAGTTGAGTTTCGGCTAGTGTTGAGAGTGGAGTCATCAGCCACAGTAGGGCCGCTGCATGTGGTGGTTTGCCCGGGGTTTGGTCCTTTCGGCCGAGAGAGATAGGAAGGAGAGAGAGTGGATGGTTACCTTGGTTTGTGTGACGACTGAAGTAAACGACCATCGGGTTTCGGTGGCCGACGTTGTTCGACAGAGTTTGTGAGATGCGACCTGCCGTTCTTTAGAAACGGGGAAGCTTTACACCGCATGGTGAGAGGGGTTGGGGAAGATGATGTATGGGTAGTTTTAGTTTAGTTTTAGGGTTATATATTAGATGTAGGGTTAATTACCTTATAAGTCCCTCTTATTTAGCCACGAAAGTACATTTGGTCACTGGTTTTGGTTATTTTGAATTTAATTTGAATTTGAAGGGTTTGTTCGTGCTAATTTCCCTTTATTCTTTTGTTAAATAATTGACAGGGTCTTAAACTGGGTAACTCACGTTTTAGTTCCTCTAGTTTAAGCTCATAATTACATGTTAGTCACTAAAGTCACATTTTAATTATCTATTTATTTTGGTTATTTAATTTCGTTTTATTTTATTTAGGTCACTATTTAGTTGTAATTTGCTTGTTGTTCTTTTATTTCATTTTGGACCCTATTTCTTTTTATTGCATTTGAAATTAATCTATAATTCCTGTTTTCTTTTATTTTAGTCAATAATGAAGTTTCTTTTCTTTTGAGTTGGTCTTTAAATTTTATGCATGTTTCATTGTAGTCCCTTTCTGGTTGTTATCTTACTTTTTAGGATTGTTTTAATTTGAGTGCCTTACTTTAATAATTTTCATTTTGGTACTGAATGATTAAAGTTGATTTATTTACGATTGCAGTGCTTAGATTGTGAAATATTTGTAATGGTTGCCTTAATTTCTTGTTGGTTGTATAGTTTAATCCCTAAAATCATTGTCTTTATTATTTTGACTAATCATTTACATATCTGTTAATTTTTGCTAGTTGTAATATTTTCAAATATTATTTTACTCAAGGAATTTATAGAAGCACGCCTTAACAGATATGGAGTGTGTTTCCAAGAATTGTTCGAATAAAATAATATATTTTATATTCGAATAATATTTTGTTTTAAAATATTTAATATATGTATTTTATCTAAAAACTTTGACGTTATTATTTTGTATGGGAAATTCATGGAAATTCCCCTTAACTGACATGGAATTATCTTCGAGAATTGTTTGTGCAAAATAATACCCTGATATTTTTCTAAAAAATGATCATAATTTATATGTTTATTAGAATTTGCCAATTTCAATATTTAAATGATGTCTAATCTTTTAGGTTTCGATTTTGGGTGTTGAGGGAGTGTTAATCCTTCCCTACACATAATCGACTCCCGAACCCTTTTTCAAAATAAATCTCTGGTTAAACGTAGATCATTTTTTATCTTTTAAAATTATTTTCCTTAAAATTATTTAAAAGGTATTTGTAGGTATTCGACTTACCTAACCCAAAGGTCGATGGCGACTCCGAAAATATTTATTTGTTTTATTTTGAAACCCAACTTTTTCCCAAGATTAATTTAGATCACTCCCCGCCATTGTCCTAAAAAGTTTAAGGACCGTTCTGACAGCTTGGTGACTCCGCTGAGGACATTAGAGAGTTAGGCCGTAATCGATTATACGTCATCTTTTTAGTGGGAAATTGTAAATTTGAATGATATTTAAATTTTGATCCTAATGTTTTATTTGCATCACATCACAAATCGTTTATTTATTAGTTGTACTAATGTGTGATTTACTTGTTTTAGATTTCTGACCTTTTTTTAGCTTGTTTGTTTTTGGATCGAGGTAAAGGATTGTGAGTTTCCCCTCACACACACTATAACCATTTGAATATTTAGAGCCTTCTAATTGTGCACTATCCCGTTAGGTAGGGGCTACGCTTACGTGAGAAAAAATATTTTTCTCCGCATAGCCTTTAGTAAGTAACCTCTGAGGTACATATACCTTTTGTTTACGAGTGAAACAATGAGTTTCCTCGCATGGACATAGGGAAATGAATCCTCTCGAATTGAACTTGATCCTTTTAAGCCTATAATGGGTGATGATCGAGGGTTTGGCAGGCTCAAGGGACACCAACAAAGGACAATTCGAGGACCCTTTTAGTAGTTTTGAAACTCTGTCTGTGGTTCTTCAAAGGTCACAAAGGGGAAATCATTCTAACCTTTCATCGAAATTATTTATTTATTTATTTATTATGCAAAGAGCATGAGAATTAAGAGAGTATGCAGTTAGGTTTTATATTTCTGTATGAAGCATGTGAACTAGATGGCATGAGGCTAGGATTTATACGTTGAACAAAGCATGGGGTAGAAAACATGTCTGTGTAGAAATGTTATAAAGCATGTCAGGATAGATACCATGTCGGGTAGGATATTTTCTTTTCGTAAATATTTTTCAGCTTTTTTGGTTGAATGACACTAACAATTTCATTTGTTTTATCTTATTTTTCTCTGTCTTTTGTTTGCATTTTCACATCATAATTAAGCAGGGTGTTAATTCACAAGTGATTGACCAGATTAAAAGGTTTTCATAACGACATAAGAGTTCCACAACTAGGTAGTCAAATCCATAAGGGTGATGACTTACAAAAAAGTTGATTTACGAAAGAAGAGCTCAAAGTCGATCGATGACTCCTATTACGTGAACGAAGATCGAGATGGTCAAATAGTCAAATTCTAGTTGAGTCAAGAATGAGAAGACCATTCACGAGATATCAAGGTCATTTTCCTCACGGAGAATCCCACGGAAATGAAGGTCTAGAGATCTAACAATCACAGTAAATGAAGAAAATGAAACTCGTCTGTCTAGTGTAAGGAAATCTTATGGTCTGATAAAGATTGTTCTATGGTGGTCATTTTTGGAATTAACACCTTGTGCATTAGCATTCTTGTTTCACATTATCTCATTAATTTATTTATTTATTATTATTGATTTTATAATAATTCTTGTCACTTTGTTATCTTATTTGTACTAACTTATTTTTTGTTGCTTTTCTTCCTGCTTGCACCGATGATCATGACATTTTTCATAGGTGTTGATTTTTGAGTGGTCATCAGAGTAAACGGTTTTCATGATGGAAAAAGGGTTTCATGATCAAGTAGACTATAACACAGCTAGAGAATGGCATCTTGAGGAATCTCCGAGAATAGTGGAGAGCTGTGGACCCAAAGATCATATGTCTAACGAAGAGAAAAATGAGATATGAGACATGAAAATGTCTAAGATGATGGATAGAATAACTGCTTTGGCCAAAGAAAAGGAGACTTATGCAAAAGGAAAAAAAAGAGCTCGATGGAAACAATCCCGCGAGTTAAATACACAAGGGATTACTTAAGAACAAGCTAATTCTAGCCGATTTGAAAAATTACGTACAATCATCATTCGTATCAACAAGTTGTCTGGAGACACCAAGGAAATGGTGACAATGGTGGAAATTCATAAAGATGAGAAGAAGCCATGCAATCAAAACTCGTTGGTGCCTGAGAGTCTACTTCCAACATCAGAGGGAATACACTTGAAGACTCAGTTCAATCCAAGTCAGGAGGTGGCTGTCATTTTGATTCTATCCCTATATCCTTTAAGGAGTGATAAGCTTTTAAAAGCCCGAGAGGTGGCCCCACATTATGTGAAACCTTGGCAACCTCCATATCCAAATTGATATGACATCAATATTCGTTGTGAATATCATGCCGGAGCTTAAGGACATTCCATCGAGAATTGCACCTCCTTCAAGCATCGAGTGCATCATCTTTTAGATCATAGAGTATTAGAGTTTGAGATGAAAGGTCGACCTAGTTTGGTAGCTGATTGTCATGTTAAGGGGGAACCAAAAGTGTTCAAAGGTAAGGGTATCATTAGGGACATCAAAGAGGAAAAAGATTTGCTAAAGTACGAAGCTCAAGTTTGTCATTTGAGAAATGAAAACGATAAACTGAATAGAGAGATAGAAACTATGTGTGATGGTTTTCAAAGAATCAATCAAGCCTTTAAAAATGCTGGTATAGGAAATACCCTAGAGGAGTAGGCAAAAGGGGCCACTAAACTAAAAATCGATGCTGAATAATGGAGAAATAATTGCAAGATGCATGAAGGTCGAGCCAAGAAGTTTTTTTATGATTTATGGATTGCAGAAGAAAGGCGCAATACAACCGTTAATGATTTAGGAAGATGTCAAGCCAAAAACCAGATGTTGAATATGTCCATAACCAATATGGAAGCTTCATATCAGTCACACAAGCGTGAGAATGATACTGAGCTTGAAGCTACTAGAGCCAAGAATGAGATATTGATGAAGATTGTAGATGGTTATGGAGATCTGGTACGAGAACTTTGATCGCTTGTGAATGTATATACTAAGGCAAGCAAATCTGTGCAAGTGTACACAATCGATGCAAGTAATATAGTAGTGAATGAGTATAGTCTCCACAGGGATTGGTGGGCTTTTAAAAGATTGCTACAGCTAGGAATATGTGTCACTAACTAATTTTAAGTATATAAGTTTAATGATATAAACAACGAAAATATGTAATGGCAAATGGTATACACAAATGGAAAAATTTAGGGTCTAGGCAAGAAAAATTGTAAAGTGAAGTGAGCAGAAAAGTTTTTTCGATACAAGAAAAATATGCAAAGGTAGACAAATAAAAGTTGTTAAGGCAAAAGTTATCAAAACTCTATAAATAAACTGGAAACCTCACATAATCAGACTTCTAACGGGCACTTAGGTTGGTTTTTCTATGCCGACAGGATTACTGAGTATTCTTAGACGGTTGCTATGGCAATACTACTCGTGTGAGCTACAACCCTTGGTTTGTCAGACTGTTATTGTGGCAATACCCGTTAGCGTGAACTATAGTCGTTGTCTATCCTACTCTAGTGTTTATCCCTTTTAGTCGATTGAAACCCTCTCCTTATCTCTAAGGTAGACAAGTTAGAACATCACCATCTCGGATCTATTCCATTGTTCACGTAGATATATCTTAATTCTCTCTACTCTAAGTATTTATTTCTAGAAAAACGATAATCTCGAAATCTCTTACAAGGTCTAGAAATATTTCGCCTAGGCACCAGGAAATCTCTCGAAGCTCTTAGAGTGTTAAGGCAAAAGGTTAAAACAATGAACAAAACAACACTTAACAAAAATATACTTAATCATTCATTAACGGTAAAATAAAATATCATCCAAGCATTCCCAACACCAA